GGTGTTGCCCTGGGTGCTGGGGCTGCAGCCTGGTGCAGTGGAGCCAGCTCTTGGCACAGAAGGTCCAATTATTTCACCCTCTCGCTAGTCTCCTTTCCCTCCCCCAAGACCACCGTGGAAGGCAGAGGCCCTGTCAGGAGGCCGAACAACAGCCCCCCTTGATCAGCACAGCCAGCACTGGGGCTGGACCATGCACGATCTTACGTAACCCACACCACAAACGATGAGGCAGGCACTGTGATCATCTCAATTTCCCGGACAGAGCAGGAAGGGCTTGGGAACAGGTCACACAGTGAACAATGGGGGGAGCTGGGGTTTGAACCCAAGTCTGACACCTGAAGCTGCACTCTTCCTCCAGCTCCCAGTGTCTGTGGAGGCCCATCTGCCCCACTCCTGTGGAGTCCTGGGGAGGGGGATGTCAGGGGTGTAGGTGGGGTGCAGTGCCAGCATCCTCACAGCACCCTGCCCCACACATCTTCCCCCACTCTGTGGGCTTGGCCTCAATTCCCTGCAGCCAAGAGAGAAGCCTGGGGCTGGAGCAGGTCTCAGCAAGGCTGGCTGAGAGATCACGGTTCTGGAGCCATCGGCTTCCACAAGCTCAACATGCGTTTAAACTGTCACGTCCACCAGGAAAGGAGGCCACGTGGACACCGAGAGGATGGCCAACCCCTACCAGGCCTGGCTGGAGTTCGGGCATCCATGCCCACTCCCTCGACTCCCACATCAAGGTGTGGCCTGAGCAAGCCATGTGGGGAGAGAAACTGAACCAGGGTCCTGAGGGACATCATGCACCTTCCTCAATGCCAAGAACCCCAACAGATATTTGTCTTCAGGAACTCCGGACGCCTTTGTCCTTCCCCTGACAGCACTGCCCCTGGACCCAGAGCTGAGCACACTACACTTTTCACTTGTTGCCAGAAGAATCTCCTTCCCTTCTTTCTCAGGTTGAGAGGAGCAACTTATAGTTTGCTTTCAGCTAAAGGAGAGGGTTAGGAAAGTGTTTATCATGTTTGTGTCAGGCCTGTGGCTTCGCCCCAGCACTCTGCAGGTGCCACTATTGCGCCCCTCTTTAAAGCTGTCTGCGGAAGAGGAGGGGATGAAATGGGGCAGCAGGAGGGCAGGCTCATACCACCATGGACTCTCCCCCAGCAATCTCTGCTGGAGGCCCCACCCCCTGCACGACCAGGGGAAGTGGGGAGGAAACTACACGTCTGCAAGGTTCCTCCATGTCAGGTGCTGTGCTGTGTGCCTTGAAGCCCAGGATGGATGGCCCTAGGACTGTGACCCAGGGCTGTTCAGCAGCAGCCTGGCACACTGGCTTAGCAGACAGCACTTCCCCAGAGCCAGCCTTGGCCCTAGAAAGCTGAGCCAGGTGGCTGTCAGCAGTACTGTACCAACAGGGGCTGGGTGCTGCTTTGGGGGATGGCAGGCTGGACAAATGCGGCAAAGGATGAGGACAGGGCCAGCCCTCTGTGAAGTGCCCCGCTGCAAGGTTCCTTCTCTCCCAGCCAAGGGCTAAGAGACCTGCTGTGGCTGTGCTGGATGGGAGCAAGTGCTGGCCCGGAGGCCAGGCTCGATGCCCATTGAATGCCTAGTGTGGGCCACAGGGGATGTGAGCCCTGGAACAGGAACAGTGAGCAGCTGCCATGCTGGATATAGCCAGGGGCCCAGCTCTTGAGCCCTCTGAGAGCCAGGCCCCTGGTGGTCCTGGCCCAGGTGGTTCAGGGCCCCTGAGGGCACCAAGCTCGGCACTATCCCACAGCAGGGACAAAGTGGTGGCTGCTGAATTAGCAGAATGCAGGAGTTTGCAGCCCAGCTCCAACTAAGTGCAGTGGGCACGTTGCTTCCTCTCATTTGTGCTTCTGCAAATGAGGACGTCCATCAGCCCAGGATGCCCAGGTGATGCTGCACAGCAAGCGAAGCCTCACTGCCCTGGAGTCTGTAAGTGGGAACATGGCAGCAGCCTGGCCGCCCACTTCCGGAGCCTTACACTGTGTGGGTGGGGAAGGTGCCCAGGCATGCCCACATCACCTTTGCCCCTGCTCTGTGCAGTCTGGGGATGCTGGTTACCACCCCGAACCCCCCTTCCCCAAGCCTCTGATCGGGCATGTGAGTCTGAGGCAGGATTGAAAAACCCATTACAGCCTAATTCTCCAAAGAGGAAGCTAGCTACAAATTCCTTTTTCAAAGGCCTCTCTCTCTCCACTGTTCCCTGAAAGTCTTCCGGGCAAGGAGAGCTCATCAAGAGTGCTGACACCTCTGCAATTTGGAAAAGCACATCAAGTTAACTGTCAATCACACAGGAACATTCCACTGTCTTCCTGGTGGGGGTTCTCTTCCACCACATTCAGTCTCCACTTCAATCCCCTAACTGAAACTTGATGGGATGAAAAACTGGAAATCTTCCTCTTTTGGCCAATGAGGTTGAGAATCGATTTCTGTCTTTCAGTAACAGTGGTTCTCAACAGGGGAGATTTTGGTCCCCGGGGACATTTGGCAATTTTTGGAGACTTTTTTTTTTAAAAAAGATGGCCAATAAGGGGATCTTAATCCTTGACTTGGTGTTGTCAGCACCACACTCTCCCAAGTGAGCCAACCGGCCATCTGTATATAGGGATCTGAACCCATCTCCTTGGTGTTATCAGCACCACACTCTCCCAAGTGAGCCGTGGGCTGGCTCTTGGAGACATTTTGATTGTCCCAACTGGGGCAGGTGCTCTTGGCATCCAGTGGGTAGAGGCCAGGGATGCTGCTAAAATAAACACCCTACAGTGCACAGGACAGCCCCTGTCACAAAGAATTATCTGGCTCCAAATGCTAAGAGGGCTGAGGTTGAGAAACCCTGCTCTAGAAGAGCTCAGAGAAGCAAGAGGGTAGTGATGGCGCCCCATTGCCACAGGGACATTCTTTTGGAGGTCCAGACCATCAGAAGCCCCTTTGTCCCATTGTGGTCCTGCTACTCTGGCCAGGCAGGCCTGTTCCTTCCCACAACTCAATCCTTTGGCCCAGTCCCCGGCTGCCCTCAACTCCACTCAACCCTTGATCTGCCTCTGTTTCCCTCCCCCATGCAGGCAAGATTCTTGATCAAGCAGTCTGTCCTGCCCCTCTGTTTCCCTGTCTCCTACTCCTTTGACTCCCCCCGCAGCTGAGCAGGCTCCTGCAATGGCTCCCAGCAGACCCCTTCAGGCCTCATCTCCCCTCACTTCCTCCTGCCATTGCCCTTTTCCTGCCACTTCTTTCTGCCTGGCTGGACCTTCTTCTCAGCTTCCTTTTCTGGCTTCTCCTTCTTTCCCCAACCATTACATCCAGAGATCCTTAGGGCTTGGCCTCAGACCACTTTCCTTCTCACTGTCCCCTCTTACTCCCTAAGAATGAAAGCTCCACAAGGAGGGGCCGGCCTGTGGCTCACTCGGGAGAGTACGGTGCTGATAACACCAAGGCCACGGGTTCGGATCCCATATAGCGATGGCCGGTTATCTCACTTGGGAGAGCGTGGTGCTGACAACACCAAGTCAAGGGTTAAGATCCCCTTACCAGTCATCTTTGAAAAAAAAAAGAAAGCTCCACAAGGGCAGAAACATCTAGAACAGTACCTTGCAAAGAGTTGGTGTTGAGTAAATATCTGTTGAACGATGAATGAATGAATGAGTGAAATGAATGACTATGCCATCAATTTCTAGATGTGTTCCTTGGGCTCGGGCATTCCTTTTGTGAGCCAGGTGCAGCAAATGGCTTCTTCAACACCCTTCTTTTGATGTCCTCAAAGTAATTCCAACTCCAACATGTGACCTTCTCAGTCCCTGCTACTGTTCCAGGGCTCCCACCTCAGGGACTGGCACCACTGTCTACCCAGATGCTCAAACCACACACCTGGTTGTCATTCCCAGCTCCTTTCTCCTCACTCCCCCACAGTCAGTCATCAATCAACCCCACTGCTGGCCAACTCCTGAATCCTGCAGCTTCTTCCCAGCTCCCTAACAAGCTGCCACGGTCTCTCACAACCGGTCTCCAACACATCCCTCTTGGCCCCTCCAACCCATTCTCCCCCAGCAACACAGTACTTTTAATCTTTAAAATCAGAAATCTGGTCATATCATCCCCCGCTCAAGCCCGTTCAGTGGCTTCCCGCTGACCTCTGGTGAGGCCCCCAGTCCTTGGAACAGCTGCAAGGCTGAGCCCCTCTGCCCCTTGCCTTCTGGTTTACAGCACAATGAGCTCTCCGTGCTCTCTCCTGCCTTGAAGCTTTGTATAGGCTGGGCCCTCTGCTGGGAGTCTTGCCACCCCCAGCCCCCGGGACCACATTAGTCTAGTCTGCTCCCCAAGCACCCCAGACAACTTTAGTAACCTCATCACCCTAGAGGTTCTGACTTTACTGGTCAGAGGGAGGCCCAAGCATCTTGTTTTTTAAGCCTCTCCAGTGGTCTAACATTCAGGGCTGAGAATCACTGTTGTACAGCATCCAGGGCCATTTGGACTATTCTGGAAATCTCTTCCCTCTGGCTTTGTTGGGGAGCTTGGAGGAATCTGTGTCCCTGATCTGGCTTTCATTGTTGCCTGAAAGTGACAATAGACCACCCTTCTGATGACCCTGCTCCTTGGAGTTGAGTTGGAGTCAAAGGGCCAGACCCAGCCATTCTGCTGGCAATGATAGTTCTAGAGGTTTCAAGCCACTGGGCTGGTGCCCTGGATTGTCCAGGGCGAGGCTCACACAACTCAAGCACCTGGCTCCACCAACCCTGGCCAAATCCTGTGCTGGTGGCTGGTCCCCAGAGCACAGGCCAGTGTCATGTTCTACAATGGCATTTAATAAGAAAATATTTTACCTTAAGGGAGAAGAGTATCTCGACAGGCAAAAAATTAATTCAGTTGTTTTGTAAACTGTCAACACTGACCTGCCTCTTGCCAATAGCACCAGCAGCCCGGGAAGAAGGGATAAGCCCCTTCATTTGAGAACAGACACAAAGGTCAGGTAAAGAAGGAGAGAGGAGGCTGTGGCTCACCTGATGATGAAAGGGCCTCTGACCTCCAGGAGCCTCCGTTCGCTGCTGAACCTCTTGAGAAGATTGATCATGAACTTGTAGAAGTAGGAATTCATGACGGGAGTGGAAGGAGAACACTCTAAGCCTCTGGTACCTGCAGGGAAAGGGACAGAGCCAGGATTTATTCTGATTGTGTGTCCACATGGTGATGAGACCCATACAGAATATGAATAGTTGTGAATGTCAAAAAGGTGTGTGGGGTTCTGTGTGCAAAAAGGTGATGGGAAATCGCCAATCAAGGATCACGGACCGACGGAGTAAAAGCAAGGCCTGTATGCGTATGTACGAGCAAATGCGTGTGACGTTGCTTCTGCAAAGAATCCATTTATGGGCCGGCCCGTGGCTCACTCGGGAGAGTGTGGTGCTGATAACACCAAGGCCACGGGTTCGGATCCCATAGAGGGATGGCCGGTTACCTCACTGGGTGAGTGTGGTGCTGACAACACCAAGTCAAGGGTTAAGATCCTCGAACCAGTCACCTTAAAAAAAAAAATCCATTTACCTGTCCGCTCCTCCATCCAACCTCAAGCCACTGAGTGAACTTCTCTCATGTGTAAGACCCTGCTAGGTGGTATAATTTTTTTTAAAAACAAATTTCTACTCATTATCCCAATAAACTAAATACATTTGGGGTTTACTTCGGCCAGTCAAAGACAAACAAGGGCTGGCCAGTTAGCTTAGTTTTTTGGAGTGCAGTGTTGATGACACCAAGGTCAAGGTTTTGGATCCCCGTACTGGCCAGTTTTGTCTTTTTTCGTGACCGGTAACAGGATCGCAACCCTCGGTGTTGCGCCCGTACCGCGACCGGCAACGGGATCGCAACCCTCGGTGTTGCGCCCGCACCGCGCTCAACCAGTGAGCGGACCGGTCTCGGACTGGTCTCTATATGGGATCCGAACCCTCGGTGGGAGCGCTGCTGTGCTCCCAAGCGCCGCACTCTACCAAGTGCGCCACTGGGCCGGCCCGGCACATGATCTTTTAATGGTCAACAAAACCGACAAACCCAGCAAAAGCTAAACTCCTTCTCCAATGTTACTTGAGGAAAAATAAATTATTAAAGGGCCGAGCCCGTGGCGCACTCGGGAGAGTGCAGCGCTGGGAGCGCAGCAGCGCTCCCGCCACGGGTTCGGATCCTATATAAGGATGACCAGTGCGCTCACAGTGCTCACTGGTTGAGCGCGGTGTGGCTGGTCTCAAAAAGGACAAAAAAAAATAAATAAATAAAGATAACGAACACTGACAAAATGTTACAAAGTGTTTTCATCTTCACCCATGGTTTTGAAATCAAACGTTCTTTCTTCATCATCTTCAGGAAAAAATGCTTTTAGGGTAGTGCTCTGAAAACTTTCAGAGTCTTGAGCTGGCTTTATAACCAGAAGCAAAAGCAACATCTCTCTATATGTCCCAGTTGAAAAAACACTGAGGGCCAGACACCCCCACCCCTTCCAGTCCATCCCCACACACGTGCCCCTCTGTAAAGCTTCTCAGGCCGAGGGGACAGGGAAGGACCAAGGGGATGCTCGGATGGTCCTGACATAGTGTATTTACACACCCTTGGAACCCTGCCCTCCCCCTTTCCTTTCTAACACATGCTGACCTCAACAGCACTGCTGGAAAGAGGTGATGGGGACAGTAGGAATCCTCACTCAGTCTGCCCAAGACATTAACAGGACGTCTTTGTTAAAATAACAGCTTTATTGAGATATAATCCATACACCATAAAGTTTGCCCTTTTAAAGTGTACAATTCAGTGGTTTTCAGAATATTCATTAAGCCGTGCATCAATCACCACTAATTCCAGAACATTTTTATCACCCCCAAAAGAAATCCCATACCCATCCGCAGTTGTCCCCCATTTCCCCCTCTTCCAGTCCCTGGAAACCACTAATTGACTTTCTGTTTCTGTGGATTTGCTTATTCTGGACATTTCATATAAATGGAATCATACAGTATGTGGCTTCTTTCACTTAGCATATTTTCAAGGTTCATCTATCTTAGCATATTTTCAAAGTTCATCTATGTTGTAGTA